TGAGGAGCAGCCGAGGGGCCCGGAGACCGCCTGGCCGAGGGGGTCCTCCGCGAAACCTGCCGTGGTCCTGGGTCCCCTCGGGGTGTAACGCTCCCCTCGCCACCGTGGCTCCCTCGTAAAAACAGTTCCCAGGTTCCCTGTTATGTTGGTACAAGCCACCGAAGAAAACGCCGTCAGTTCATAGACAGATACCGTTCTTGCCGCCTAAAGTCGGCTGTCAGAAGTTACAGTTTGAAGACATAAAGGCGTGTTGTCGAAGGGGAACCAGCAGCTGGTGTGAATACAAAGAAATCAGAGAAAAAATTCTCTTTCCATAACGCGAAGCATGAAGAAGCTCAGTTCCCGCTCAGTGCGGCGGTGTGCTGTTGAAGGGGGAGCACGATGAGGGAACCATTCCTGACAGAAAAAAAAAAGTCCTTGTAAGTGGACAAAAATGGCAATGGATGAGCTGAACAGCAAATTTCGAATTTACATTGGGGTTATTTGCTTTATGAATCTTGTATAAGCAATACAGCAACTGCATCCTGTAACAGAAAGGAAAAAACCCACCACCAGCTGCCTAGAAGTTGAGTGCTGTGTCGGGCTCACTCCATCACGGTGTTGGTAACCGCTGGCAGGCTGCAGTCTGGCAGGGAGGAGGGCCTAACCCAACACGACCTCCTCTCGTCCCGGGGAGCAAACCTACAGTGACACAGCGCTGCTGCAAAATATTACAGGTCAGGGATCGGCCTGAGCTCGTCCCCATGTGAAGGCTGGAACAAAGTTCTGAAAAGATGAGCGGTGCAAAAAGTAAATCATTAATATTTATTGGACTGCTCTTCAACTGCCTAGATGTGGTGAGTGCAACTCGTTTACTTTGAAACTGTTTTCAAGAATGATACTGTACTCTTTGTAAAAGTAAACTAAAAGTTAGGGTAGAGACCGACACCCACTTCTGCATTCATAATTTGTTACTATTACACTTCTGCAGTGTCTACAAGTGACCGGGAAATAAAATAATGTGTTGGGACACAAGGTCTTTCAAAGTCTCTCGACAACTAAAAAATGGATCAATGGGCAGATTCAGAGAGGAAAATGAAGAAGTTACATGATCTGCATACCTGTACCAAATTGGTTGCATAAACTTTCCATGTTTAAAGAATCTGAGCAAATACACCATATCAGTAAAATGTGTTTAAAAATGTCGTATTATAAGTTGTTGTTGTTGTTACTAACATTATTACTTTTTTTTAAATTTTCCAAATACAGTATTTCACTTAGTATTTCTAATATTTTTACATCTTCCTTTTCAGATCTTTTCAACTAACACAGGTAAACCTTCAAAATGGTGTTTTGGTTTTGCCTGCTTATTTTTGAATGGGTCTGCAGAGAAAACACACGTGTGATTTGTAATAAAACATTCTGTAAGTTCTAGCAGCTTTATAAACAAAAATTGTTTTTAAGTTTGATTCAGCTTTAAAAAATCTGCGTTGATACCTTTATAAATTTCAAAGCTCGTTTTTAGGAGTCCCAATTCTGTCGGACACTTGCACAAAGATTCTGACAGACCACTTATGCCTTGAAACTAGTGTGAACCAGGCAGAACACTCAGCCTGACAAATTGTGCTGTTCATTGCCTACATAACTGTGCTACAAATAGGATTCAAACTGTCCCATGTTTGCACCAAATTAATTGTTGTATCTCTTAATTAAAAAAAAAAAAATACCCACACACCCAAAAAACCCCAAAACAAACCAGAAGAAGCATGATCTGCTAGGTGCAAATATTTCCAATGTTTTACAACATTTTATACTTTCTTCAATCTTGTATTTTGTGCCTACAGCTCCTATTGCCTTAAATGTGAATACAGACTAGTTTAAAATAGGAGGAATGCAAGATTACAAGAAATGCTCTCAGAATTCATTCATTCTGTGGTGATAGTAAATGTTCTGGCATATACTGCACTGTCAAGAGCTATTCATTACTGGCTCTTTTTAGCGATGTCACACTTAAAGGAATTCTAACTTTGTTAATTCCCAATACTATTTATGCTATACAAGCAGAAGCCATTGACAAGAATGGAATTATTCTTGCAGAAACACAGATTATTCAGTCAACAGGTTAGTAAGAGAAACTGTGTGAGGTATGATTTCGATTGACCTCGGTAGGACTGGGATTTTATCCTTGATGTTTTGATGTAGTGGCAGGGAATAGCTGCCATTCCTGTTGAAGGCTGTTGCTGGTTCTGTTGCCAAATTGAGTATTACCTCCTTTTCCCCTCTGCTTTTCTTTTAATGTATAAGTTTCCCTGACCTACCACGCACAGCTTGCTCAGACTCCAGCTTTCCAAGCCACCAACCCTTTCATTACAAATGCAGACGTGAAGCCATATACGTTTTTCAGTACTGGTGTTGATAAATGGTATTTTTGTTTCATTCACAAGAGGACTTGTAGCAGATAAGTCACTGATGGATTTTGAAGAAGAGTCTACATAAATAGAAGTGCTTTTTTATTTCATTGCTGAAATGGAATTGCAAAAATATTCTGTTGGAATTCTATTTTTCAAATAATTTAGCTGATAATTTTTAGAAATAGCCATTATTCTTCCCATAGAATTTGTTTCTTATAAAAGTAATTGTTACAATAATAATGACCAAAAAAACCAAAACAAACCAGTGTTTATGCTGTTAAGTATAGGAAAACCTCTATTGCTGGCTTAGTTATGGCGGAACAGATATTAATTATTAATGATCTGTAATTTATTTCTGATATAAATCATGTGCTATATATTCTCCACTTGACTGTTAGGCAAGCAACTCCCTTAGACTTGCATGAGGATTTCCTGCACAGAAATTTTTATGAATGGTTACTAAAGACAATATTTTAAAAGGAAACAAAAATCACGGAGCAGTAGCTTGCTCAAAGATCATGAAAGACGCACCTGCGAATTTTCTGCAGGCATGATCATATAGAATATATTTTTACAAATGGGGCAAAAAACGGTGTCTGACTATAGCTGAATAAGAAAATGCTTGGGACCAACAGAGCAGACCTAATGCTCAGGAGTTGTATAACCGTGTATAGTACTTGCTAGGCTCTCTGAAATCCCAAATTAGCTGTCTTGCTATAAAATAGTTTGCCTCAAGGCGCATACTTTTGTCCCAAATACTTTTTCATTCCTTTTCTTAATCTTAGGTGAGATACATCTTCATTTTATTTTTTTTTCTCTTCTACTGAGTTTTTGCAGCCTTGCAATGTAGGGACTTGTTGATAATAGTCTGAAAATCCTGATTACTGAACATAAATTACTTGTGGTTAAGAAATACTTTTTGTGTGCTGCAAGAGCTCTTTCTGAATGGCCTGCAGCATAGTGTAATAGAAAAGCATTTAATTCAATATTTGATGTGTCATGTTATTGTATATCTGCTCTGAGATAAGTTACCTTATCTGGATAAGATGACTTCCCATGGTCCCTTCTAAACTAAATTATTGTATGTTGTTCTGATACAGAAATGCCTGCGATTCAGCATCCTATTTGAGACTGCTTTGTATAAACCTCCACTTCTTTGTATATTGCTTTCTGTAAACATCCAGCATAGTTAATTTGCTATAGAGCAGGACAAAAAAAAGACCTTGTGTTGCAACCTGGGTTAAATGATGGTCAAGAGTACTAGAATATTTTCATTGAAAGACGAAAGTTGCCCTAGAGTATCTCAAGACTGTTTGTTTTGTTAATGTTCATTTAAACTTAATTTAACTTAAATTTTAAACATTCATAGAAAGTGTAGGGCATTTGTCCTATGCTTTGTCTGTGTGAGATGTTCAGAGCACTTAGCGTTCCACAGGGCCCAGTTCCCCAACTTCAGTATGTCTCGTTATTTCTGGTTCAGCTCCAGCCATACCTGTCATTGACCGAACCTATTCAAAACTTAGCAAGTGTCACAGTGGAACGGAGAGCAGTACCTGGGGCTACTGGTTACCTGCTGGCTGCACAAGATGGAGATTCCTCCATGGAAACTGTAGTTACAAACTCTCCAGGCACAGTGACGGGGCTGAAACCTGCCACCTTGTACAGAATCGCTATCAGATCTATGGATTCATGAGGAAAAAGCCAGCCTTCACCTTTCAGAAAAGCAAAACCAGGTAGACTTTCAAATTCTTATTCTTATTTCAAATTATGGAGTGTTATGATAATATAAAGCATTCATGCAAGCATTCTTTTTTTAATTTTTTATTTGAACAGAAAACAAAACAGTGTAGCTCAGGCATGTACCAGTACTGATTTATTATAATCTTGTATTTTAAATTGTATTGATCGCATTCTCCTTTCAGTTTTTGAGGACTAGAATTTGGCCATCTAGCTTAATGATCAGGACAAGAGTCTGAATGAATGCTTTACTTTGTGACAGTACTGTCAGTCAAATGTTTAATAGGAAATTTTACTAGAATTTGTATGAATATATGTGTTTTATTTTTTAAAACATAAAGTTTTATTTTCTCAAAAGACATAACTGGAGGGAATGGAAGAAATGAAGAAACAACTAAAAGTATAAAATACTAAGACAATGTAAAACTTAGAGGACAGGAAATACAGTACCTTCCTGGTGATTTTCATTCTTACACACATGCAACCTTTTATACTTCGGGTATGAGTTATATTCACTTTACAAAACCTGTAATATCATAATGGATACACCAAATCAATTTCTATATTTATTCTGTCAGTCTTGCATTAGTTTGTTTTTCTGGTTTTGTTGTCATTGAATTTGTCTTTCAGTTTGGTGGTTGTTGTTTCTGTGTATTCGTTTCAAATTTGGTGCTTTCAGACAGTATTACCGAAAAACAAAAGCTTAATTTGTGTTCTTTCTCAACAGTCCTGGCTGCTCCAATTTTTCCGTTACTTCTCTGAGTTGTGACTCCATTGCGGTGAGCTAGAAAGCTGTGAATATGGCAGCTGGATTCTCTGTGTCCCTCATGAGATCAGATGGTTTGGGCAGAATGCTGAAGGAGAACACCACCAATACCTCCTTGACATTTACAAATCTAGATCCAGGAACCCTCTCTCTACTATCAAGACACATGCCTGGAATGTCAATGGGATACCTGGAAATGATTTGACATATAACCAAAGGACAACTAAGAAATTTTCTTTTCTGAAACCATGTAAGCATTAAAAAACCCCAAAAACATATACCAGAAAGTATTTATGTGTATGTGTGATCATGTTATATTTGTCAAACATACATTGGGTGGATTTTCAGATCATGTAGTTTTTACCCCATCTCAAAGTCCGTGGAAGCTCAGATGACATGGCTATGTTTAATGAATATTACTGAGGCAAAGACACCATTAACTACCACTAAAGGTGCACCTAGGGCGGGCCCGGGTAAGGATTACACAAGCTTAGGCTGAGTTGAGGATTTTTCTAACTGAGAAATGAGTATTCAAATAAGGCGAGGTGTTTCAACAGAAAGCTTTGTGAGGGTATGCAGCTAGAACTATTTCTTTAAAAAATTGTCACTTTAATGTGAATGAGGGTAAGGTCTGCACCACAGAAATTGTGTTTAGTTTGCAAGTTCTGGAAAAGATCATGTCTGTGAGCCATATGCCAAGTTGTATTCATGTGTTCCAACCTGATATACCATAGGTCCTAATCCACCAGTGGATGTTCAAGTAGCTTCTCATAGTGGTGCTTTCAGAGCTGTTGTTCTTGGACACCAACAGAAGGAGCTCTAACTTAGAGTGTGACAGCCTCCAGTGGGCTCTTGAAACTGAAGCGTAACACATCTTTTGCCTCCTGCATGGTGCCATCGCTCCAGTGTGGCTCTGAATACTATGTTTCTGTCACAGCATATGATGATGCTGGATCCAGTAAACCTACTGATCCAGTAAGATTAAAAACTAGGATGTGTCATTGATCCTTGTATAGCTTATGGCATTTTAATATGTATTTCTTTAATTTCAAATGTAAATTAGTCCACTACAATTCACAAGTGGTTCTCAGACGGTTACTTCTGCTTCTGAATTTCATGCGTGAACTGTGCCGTATACCTTTCTGGTTTTGGGGATAATAGCATAAACTTTCTTCATATTTCTGTGAGAAAAACCTGCAATATTTTTGACTGAACCAGTAAGCCTGCATTTTTCTCTTACCCAGAAGCACTTGTTCTAAAGTCAATTTTCTGAGTGTAAGACAAATGCAAAGAGTAAGGGATCTGTCCTGCTGTGTCAGGTCTGTCACAAACAGATTGGAAGAAGTAACATTAAGGACGGGCCCTAGGCTGAGAACTGTTCTAGGCTAGATCTAGTTGTAAATTAGAAAAGAGGTCAACAAAACCACATTCAGCTAAAGTAGCACCGCTAGACTAAATTAAGATACCGTCACAGACTATTCTCAGGTAGCACCTCAAGACAAAAGGTTGCTCATTTCAGCTCCTTAGTACCACGGCCATGTTGGGGGTTATTGCTTCCTGACCTGCTAGATGAACTGCCCATGTAAGCAAAACCTAAACCATTTTTGTTATTATGTGCTACCTTAAAGACACAACATTATTTACTTAATTATTTGATGTAACCTGCCTCATTTTGACTTCACATTGATATGAGTTAGAGATCATCCATGTGAGCAACTGAGAGGGGAATCTAAAGGGATGAGAGAGCCTTAAGCAAGAGATGTCTTCTAAGCTGTGGGCTGTTACCTTCTCGGGCAACTTTGCTTCAGCTAGATAATGTATATTCATTCTAACAGCAGCAAGCTAAACTTTTGAACTAGAAAGGAAGTGAATGTTATTTAAGCAAAAGCCATGGAGTTTGCAGTTTGATGTGACATTTTGGGATGCCACCAGAAAGGAAACCTGAGCAAAAGGCAGCTCTGTTCAGACACAGCCGGTGAGTTTCATACCAGTATATAAAGGGTTTTCACATAAAGGCTTCTGGATGCCAGCTGCTATTCAAGCTAGTATTCCCATTGTCATCCAAAACTATTTGGGAGCACAGACTGTCCTCTTCCTTTGGAGGTACTGCCTGGTGCCACTGTTTTTGTTCACAGGGGCTCCTTAAGCAGACTCTTTTCTGTAAAACATGAAGGTAGCATCTTTTTGTTCTGTAAAAATCATACTCACTTGTCTAAACGTGAGGAGCATCCTCTGTAGAGGCAGATAAGCTGCTGTTTCCTCAGAAGGTAGCATCTTTTTGTTCTGTAAAAATCACACTCACTTGTCATCTAAACGTGAGGAGCATCCTCTGTAAAGGCAGATAAGCTGCTGTTTTCTCGAACAAGACAGAGCAACCGTTCAAAGCTGAGTAGAATAGTTCTATATATTCCTGGTTTTCCTTTACTCCCCCAAAGTATAACTTCAATAAAAATATTCTGATTACAATTTTTTTTCTTTCTTTTATTTTTGATTTTTTTTTAATCAGGTCTTGTGCACCAGGAAATACATCAATTGAAGAAGATGAACCCAGCCACTTGTTGGTATCATGACCAATTTTGGTCATTATTATGTGGTTTTTGTGAAGAGTGATGATGGCTTGGAAGTGCACTGCAACACGACACTTACTCAATGCCATTTCCAGTCGGGCTGTGGCTTCGCTTATTTCATTAGCACCTGTGCATATGTCAAGGCCGGGCAGAGTCCTTTAGGTGACGTATTCAATTACACTGCTGGTAAGCAGAAATGTATTCTTGCAAATTCATGTTGGGTCCTTTAACTGTGTGTATGGTAGAGCTGATTGGACATTTTTATGGGAAGACAATGACTTAAACTTCTATTTTTATTCAGTTTTCGGGCAAAACACACAAAGGTTGGCAGAGAAAAAGAATTACGTCACATTGCAGTTGAATGTGACTTGTGTAGTCAAGTGCAGCAACAGGCTTATAAACTTGAAAACAGTTTAGCGATTCACGGTCATCAGGCAAGGGTGCATGAATAACACACAGTCCTGGCATGACGTTTGAATTCAAGTCCTGGGGATTCTTCTGTTGCCTTAGGAGGGCGGATCAAAGTCTTCAGCTTCCTCATAGAGAGTTTTCATGTTTAGAAAATGAAAAAACAGCGAGCTCAATGGGAACTTGTGAAGCACATCGTTAGAGTTATTTAACCTCTAGATGCCTGGAAATTTGAAGTCAAATATACACGTGATTCCTGCGCCTCGCCTGTACCTCGAGGTGCCCCCTGTTGGTTTGGAAGGAGGGGTGCTGAACCAGGACGAGCAGTCAGCTGGGGTTAACGGGGCCGTGGCGCGGCCCTGCAGATCCGCGGGGCGAAGCGCCCGGCCCGGCGGCGCTCC